ACGTGCTCAACATCTGCACCGGTTCCGGCGTTTCGGCCAAGGCTGGTATCATGGACGGCAGGAAAGCGACCACGAACAAGGCAGCATGGGCGACAATCACTGCATATGGCCCGAACACAACTTGGGTCCCGAGGGCACGCTGGGTGGAGGACAACTCCGCCGAACCTCCCATTTGGAGCTCCTCTGGAGTGACTTCTGGATTCGATATGATGTTGCAGTTCGCGGAGACTGTGTACAGTCTCCAAAATGCCACGTACATCTCCAACTTGATCGAGCATGTTCGCATTACCAACCCCGACAACGACCCATTTGCTGTGAACATAAACGAAACATCTACCTAAGTTAGGTGTAGATTTCAAGAGCTATGGTAAGCGATGGGGTGGGGTAGAGGCTTACCAAAGAGTACATTGTAGAGGTTATTATGTTTTGCAGAATCGAAAGTGCACAATGCACGCTTGCCAGGTTCACTGTGTGATTTCATTGACGCGAGAGCTTTGATCTTATTACTTCTTCACATGACCAGGCACGTCCCGCTGCTCACCAGCTTTCACGTCATTGACGCGCCTTAGGTCGTTGCTACATAAGTCCGTATGCGTATGTTCTCCACATTATCCGCCCGCGCTCAACGGAAACACAACTCACATGGCCTAGGTGTCTTGGAGGCGAACCCTCGACTTCGAACAACTAATCCATCCCCATATCTCGAAAAGCCACAGACTGACGTTATTCACTGGAGCACCTCGACTTTCAGAGAGGAGATCTCGCTAAAATGGTAGTGATGTCTCCTGTTCTCCTCGCCGACAAGGCGCAGAACACTCCCAAAAAGGCGCGCATCCTGCCGTTGACCACCGAAGCCCACCCCACACTGGCTGAAATGAAGAACGATTTTTCTTATCGTGTCTATGTCTTCGAGTGCAGCAACCGTGGGATTGCTGCCGTTCACCCTATTTCTGACCAGGCACTCAAGACGTTCGATCCGAAAGAGCGAACGGAGCTCTTACATGATGTCCAAAGACTTGAGCAGCATAGCTCGGATAAGAAGAAAGCGCCTTTCACGGAAACCCGTCTTAATCTAGAGAAGCTTGCTAAAGAGGATCAAGCGAATGCACAAACAACCTCTGCCAATATGCCAAAGAAACTACGGCTTGATTTCGCGGAGGATGGCTGGGTTTTGCTCCGAGATGAGATTGTCGAAGATCTGGCTTCCCGCACCAACGGTCTCCCTGCCCTTTCCAAGCAGGAAATCCAAGAGGCATCGATCGAGCAGCTGATGCGTGCTCCCGAGTCGTACAAGACGGGCGCCGACGAAACCGAGAAGAAGCTGGAGTTTCTCCGACCAGTCTCCGACGACAACGATTCAGGCGAATTCTCATTTGAGACCGTTCACCCTCCCAGTCCAACGTCAAAGACTATCCGTCCCACGGACGATATGAACGAGTTTGTTCCGAGCTCCAACAAGCCAGGATTTCTCGCGTCCTTATTCGGTGCTCGCGGCAAAACCGATCCCAAGCTTGACCGTCCGCCGACACCTCCTTTAGGAGGGACTTACGAAGATTACCAGCGTGCCGTGCAATACTTCCTCAAGTACGACCACGAACGTGTTTCACAACTTGCCGTCCGTTGGAACTTCGTTGCAGCTTCACCGTCTCCTATTCCCGACACTGGCATGTCTTGTGGCGATAAGGAAGTTCTCGACGGCTCAACCTCTCAAGAGGATGAACAGTTGCCGACCGGCACATCATGTGCTCAGAATTCTTCTGCAGACTCTATCGCATCTTTGGAGTCTCTAACCCTGTCTGAAACAGACGCCGCGCTTGATTTGAGAACCGAACACCCTCTTTTATCTCCTAGCAACAATATATCGGCTGTCTCTTCTCGATCAGAACTTGTATCAGAAGCCAGCTTTGAGTCCTTCTTTGAGTCTGACGTGATCTCTGGGTTCGACCATCGCTCTGAGAACGGTCAATCAGAGGATAACGACTACTTGAAAGATGCTAGCGACAATCTTGAGTGCTCTGTGGGAGCTATTCGTACGTCAGTTTCTAGCCACTTACCTCATAAAAACCACGATTCTGATCTTCTCTTCGACAATACCTTGGACGTGGAGCATTCTTCTCAAGAGGAGCGCCCCACGGAAGATTATGAAACTGTCTCAGGTGAGAATCAAGATAGTTACGATTCGGACGATACCATCGATTCCATCTCCAATCTTCCAATCTCAGTCGACCATGATAACGACGTTGTGATCCAGTCAAGCGGTGACAGCATCAGCCCTGCTCCTCCCCAATCTGAGGAGTTCGAATCAGCACCAAACGGCAATGGTTTCCCAGAGCCCCATATTATCCATGCAGCAATCACACTAGTCCGTTCCATTAATTGGCGCACCGAAGATCCCGAGGTGACATGGGATGATCAGATGCGGGAGTTACAAAAGCACTTGGGGATCACCGACCAAGATGCATCCACTGTACCGCCAGATGAAGTCGTCCCGGCTGCGCAGATGGAACAGCACGCCTCTCCAGTTGTTCTACGTGACGCTACCCTGCTCACCCAAGGTGTGAATTCAGTCGAGCCTCCCAAAGAAGCTACACACTCGGAGTCAACCGAGGCTGGAGATACCAATTTGGCATTTGACAGTGCATCGCCTGGTACACCTCCCATGGCAGCGTCCAAGATTGGCCGAAACGACGGCGTTGCCACCGCAGAAGCATCCGACGAGGACTTTCCCGATCCCAGCTTGACACTCGCAGAACCTCCTGATATGACCCGTACTCAGTCTGTTGCAGATCCGACCGTCATCAGCTTCACAATTCCCGACCAAACTAACGGAACTGGTGGTCAAACTTTTGAGATCCCTCTAGAACCTGCGGAGAACCGTCGTAAATGCTCGCACTTCCTCAAATGCGTCATTACGGCCCGAGAATATCTCGACTATACATTCCTTGCATATATCGTGACTACGTCATTCCATGAACATCATATGTCTGCAAAGACCCATCTTGTGGTGTCCTGCATGTTGCTTGGCTCTGCGCTTCTGCTGCGGTACGTGAAGCACAAGTCCATCAAGACCCGCGGCGCAGCCCAAGCCACCGAGCCGCAACACTACGTCGCTACTGCTAAGAACAATAAGTCTATGAAATACGGACTCTTCGGCTTCGCTATCGGAGTACTTCTCTTCTCCGCCGGCCCTGTCTGCGAGCACTGTCCCAACGTCCCCATCAAAGACATTTTCGTTCTGAAGACATCCGTCACCAATTTCACCATGAGCCCGAACTTCCCGACCGACCGATTCTTCGGACCAAATACGACGTATTGGCTCCCTACAGCTAGCTGTGCCAGCGGCTGGCAGTGCTACACAACCGGAGCTGTGAGTACTCACAGCTGGGCATCAACCCTCGGACCGGCCGATTACGTTTCAGCTGCGGTGCTTCTATTCCTCGCTGGCCAGAAATTGCGCGAGCTTGGTGTGTTTGAGAGTTTGTATGATATGGCTCATTGAGATGTTGATATGAAGAGGCCGTTACTGAATGGATAGAGTGGATGGAAAGCTGGGATGACTTTTGCATGATGGAAAGTCACTATTTAATACAAACAAATAACCAAATTATATCTTTGTTTTTTTACAGTTAGGTTAATTTCCCATATGTAGTCGCACGCCTCACGTTTGTAAGGCGTGGCTCTGCGTCTCAGTCATTTTTCTACTCAACCGGTCTATGCTTGGGTGTTCATAGCAGTTTTTGTGCTGTCCAAATCTTGTCGCTGAAATTTTGCTTTCATTCGCATGAAATCGAGCCACGTGAGCAGCGAAGAGGGTTAACAGTCTTTAGCTCGACGTTGGATTGCTTCCACAATCACTTCATACGCCTTTTACTATCCTACAAACACATTCTCATTATATGACCTCCGTTGACCGCTTCGTTGTAGTTCATAACGCTCTATCGCTAAAGAGTATCTCGGAAGCTAGCGTTTACTACCTGGCTAACCTGACTTACAACCATGTCCGGCCGTAGTCTCCGAAGCGAACTCTATGTGCAAGTGCGCAAAGAACTCACAAGAACCCACATTCCTCAGATAATAAGAGTTATGAACAAGCTTGAGACCGCGAACGGAAAGTGACTCGGCACCATATCCTCGCTGACTGCCGAACTGGACACTGGCAGTGATGCAAAGCTTGTGGAGGCTGTGAAGAAAGCTGCGGTGGCTATGAAAGAGTATGAGAAGGTTCTGAATGATGCGGTAGATGATTTGAGAGAGTGGAAGAGCGTGTTTGAGCGGTGGTCGAGACCTGATGGCCCCGCCTAAGATGCAAGATAATTTTAAGAAGGTTAAGCATGGAATGGAGCCGCGCAAATGGCTAGGGTTACTGGCATGCGCTGGGAGATCATGGCACTGAATAAAATAACTAGAATGGTAGGACACTGTTAGCCCTGATACAGGTCGAAATTTCCTACGTGGTGCACCTGTGCCCTACCTACCTAGGTAACTCGCCGTCCCATCATAAGCAACGTGAATGAATTCACATTGTCTTTCACAAAATTCGCAGCTGTTGTAGAAGTGGGAGGCGAGTTTGCATTACGACCAGGTTGTTCGCATTCACATAACTAGGTATTGTTGGATAGTCTGGTTGCGACAACCGCTTCCTCTCACCGCCTGGCTGAAGCAATCATCATGCGCAAATGTGCAAGCAGTTAAGAAGAGATGCAGGCAGTGTAGACACATCAGTGGAAATCACGACAGGAACATTTATCGTTATCGTCTGGGTCAATATTGGCGAGTTCTGGTAGTGTTTGGGTCCAGTTTGTTGGTGTACCAATCGAGGAGGAATTTTTAGAAATGCGGGGTCGGCGAAGAGTGAAGCGGCTCTGCCCGAGCAGGCGCACAACGCAACGAGAATTTTTTCCACACAGACTCGCCGAAAAGTGAGTGGAAGCCGAAAAAACCCTGTATTGCTGAGATATATATTGTATTGTGATAGAACTGTTCATCGCTTCCGGTATTAAGCCCGGCTAGCTCAATCGGTAGAGCGTGAGACTCTTAAGTATTCACGATCTAATCATTCGATTACATGGCATCTCAAGGTTGTGGGTTCGACCCCCACGTCGGGCTTTTTTCGCTTCATTTTGCTCTATCTTCGTGTACGTGGCTGTGGGTGCATGTGCGATGGTTCGGGCAACAATTTTTACTCCACTAAGCGACAGCGTCACTAGCACATAAATTCAAACCTAGCCCGCTAACTTTAGTGAGTAGGTAGGCAGTTAGAGCTCTCCACATTAGAGCTAATTAACTCATCGTTGCGACAACTTGGCATGAGCTAGAGATTTGGAAACCGAATCACCACTCTAGAGCACCCCCAAACGTGCAGCATCCGGACCCTCACCGTACAACTCGACGCTCTTCGCATTGAACCCTTACGAATCTTGAGGCCGGCAAGTGTGTGGACCCGTTCCCCAGAATAGCAGGGTTCCGTAAGACTTCCTGTACGTCATCGTTGGCGAATGTCTCCCGGGAGCGCTCTCAACCGTGACAAGCGTGCAGCCCACAAATACCCGCCTGAACGACCACTGCAATTCGCTATATCATTGTAATAGAGTTTGCAGGTGCTGCTTTGTGGGGTGCATGAGCGAAGCTCGCGTGGTGTGGTGAAACGCTAATGAGACTGCTTACAACCAGTGGCGCTCTACTTGCGTTGCACAACAGAATCTCGAATGCAATATGCCGAAGGCTTCTGCTTTCTCAAGGAGATACTTCCGATGGACTGTACGACTGACAAAGTCAGCAGCAATGAAGTTTCGCGGGTCCCACAGCTTGAACTCTGGTCAGCGCGTAATACTTCGAGCTGGTCTCGACATCCCATAACACGCTCACAAAACCATTCTCTATACTGTGTTGGCGGGCCAGCATGTACACTATCATTCATATCTAGGTCTATCGTTACATCTGCAATATCAAGAGCGCCTTGAGTCAACCGTATCCCGCCCGAAAACGAGATCCAAAGCGATGGACAGCTTTCTAGAGATTCCAGATCCCATAGCGACCTCGGTCGACAGGACCCGAGAGGTCTTCGGGCAGATACCCACCAGTAACTCCTTATTTAACAATACCAGACCCAGCTTCAATCCAAACCGGTTCCGCAACAAGTCGGCCGACACGAACCAGGCTCCAGTTCTACTCGGTGTGGGGGGCACTCTGTTGTTCATATCAATATGCCTCCTCGCCGCTCGACTTTGGTCCCGTTTGAAACCGGCGCACCGTATCAAGCCGGATGATCTGACTGTTCTAGCCGCCACAGTACGATGCACATCGTCACCGCGAACGCTCTTGCTGACAGGAAGTCACAGATCCTAGCAGTAGTCCAATATCTCATCCTCGCTGCCGCGGTGTTTAACGGACTCGGGCACCGCACCATCTTCGTGCCAAGCAAGCGCCGCTCCGCTGCAATGCGCCTCCTCTTTATCTCCCAGCTCTTCTGGTACTGGGCCGTCACGCTGGTCAAACTCTCCGTCGCACTGCTACTCTTCCGCCTCAAGCCGACGCGACCCTGGCGCTCCTTCCTCTATCTCATCATGGGCGTTACAATCGCGGCCGCCATCGTACAAACATGTTTCCAATTCCTGCAGTGTCGGCCGTTCTCCGTGTACTGGGACCCCCGCGTCTTCAAGGGCGTGCAGTGTTTCCGTCGCTCCATCATCAACGGGAACATCATCATGTTCAGCAGCATACAAGTCGCCCTGGACCTGATATTCAGCTTCATCCCTATCACGTTCATCCGCAAACTGAAACGGCCCCGGCGCGAGAAGATATTCATGTGCTTTCTGATGGGGCTAGGACTGTTCGCGGCGTGCGCGGCTGTTGTGCGCACGCTCACGTTGCAGGAATACTACACCACGTCCGATCTATTTCGGATTAATGTGAAGATTGCGTTGTGGGCGACATTGGAGCTGCAAATGGCGCTCATAGCGGCGACGATGCCGACGTTGAAGGCGTTTATGGAGAGGACACTTGTAAGGGTGGGCTTGCGGTTCTATGACGAGAAGAATGAGGGGCATGTGAGATGGGAGTTGGTCAAGCTGGGCTTGCTGGATGAGGGGGATGTATTGGTCAAAGACGAAAATATGGTGGTGGGACGGAGGCCGATTACTAGGAGCGTGACGGAAGCGAAGACTGCTGCTGCGAGCAGTGAGGAGGTAAAGGGGACCATGGACAACGGAGTTGGCCTATTGAACGAGGAGGACGAGGTCACCTTCGATGAGATGTTGCTCGAGTCAACGAGAGCAAAGCAGTTTTTATAACCTGCCGAAGCGATTATTAAAGGTCTGATTGGCTCTTGTGTCATCTAGTACAATACCCATAGTACTTGCTGAAGCTGGATAACTTCAGTGTACTATCCAATAACACAGGAGCCGAAGATGGAGGTCTACTACCCTATGTGTCTCACTAAATTCCTTCTGTTTATGGCTAATCTGACATCGTGAACGTCGTCAAGTCATCCCTGGATCTTCTACACCATTACAACTTGCTCTTTACCCTGTCTTCTTTCTCCACCTTCCTTCTATCCAATACATCCTCCACCTTCGCAAATTGATAGTAAAACTGTAAGCTCTGCGGATTCGCCAACGTCCCGCTCGGCTTGATGACGTTCCCGCTAACGATCTGCTTAACCGGCAGCTCGACCTTCTTCCCATTTACGGTCGCCTACAGCAAATTAATCACAGTCCTCGTGGAATCACAAAACTTCACTTACCGGTATATCCCACGTCTGAAACACATATCTCGGAATATGCCTCTTACTCCTCTCCTCCCCAATCTTCCGCTTCACCCGCTCAACAAGCGCTTCCGTGAACACCTCTCCATCCTTCATCTTTAAAAACAACATCACACTCTCATCGCTGTCCTGAGACCTCCTTTGCCCCACGCACACACTATCCGCCACCTCTAAAAAGTGCGTCTCAACCACCGAATAAATATCACTCGACCCAAACCGCACTCCACTTGGATTCAGCACACCATCCGCCCTTCCAAGAAACAAAACCTGCCCCGTAACCGGATGGTACTGGATAAAATCGCCATGCGTCCACACATGCGGAAACCGCGCATAATACGCGTTATGGTACCGCTCGCCCGACTCATCGCCCCAGAAGAACACCGGCTGATTGGGAAACGAGGCCGTTGCGACGAGTTCGCCAGGCTCGCCGTGCGGCACCGCACGCCCGGGCCCAGAATCAATGAGGCTGTCGTAGACTTCCATTTTCGTGCCGAGCGTGGGGCCCTGACAGCCGCCGACGTACACAGGCTCGAGGGGGTTCATGATGCCGAAGCAGCCTGCTAGATCGGTGCCGCCAGAGATGTTGCGGAGGTGTACAGGTGGCGGGAAGGCGGTGTCGTAGAACCATTCGAAGAGGGCGTCGGAGAGGACCATGCCGGTTGTGCAGACGGAGCGGAGGGCGGAGAGGTCGAACTGCTTACGCGGGATGATGTTGTGTTTTTGGAGCTCGTGGAGGTAGCGTGGGGAGGTGCCGAAGTCGGTGACGCGCTGGGTTGAGAGGATGGAGAGGAAGGCTTGGGGGGAGGGGATGAAGGGGGAGCCGTCGTAGAAGATGGAGCGACTGCCTGTGATGAGGGATTGGATGCTTACGAGGTACATGATCCAGCCGGTCTGTTGCGGTCAGCTTTAAAAAGAGTGGGTCTTCAGGGTGTTGCTCACTGTTGTGTATTGCAGTATCTGCGGTGATTAGCTGGCATTTCATGACTGGGGTAGGGAGGAAACTTACGACGCTGTCGGGACCTATCTCTTTGTGTAGCTTCTCTTCCTTCAACATGCTTATGAGCACTCCGCCTACGCTGTGTACGATACACTTCGGTATGCCTGTCGTCCCACTGCTGTACACCACCACAAATGGATCCCGAAACGCCACTCGCTCGAACTTCAATTCCTCATTCCCAGCCGCAGCCTTCACATACTCTTCCAGCGTGACCGCTCCTGGTATACCACTCACATCAGCCGGCCCCTCTAAAAACCTAGGCTGCAACACCACGCCCTCAAACTCCTTCACTCCGCCCATGCCCTCCACAATCTCCCTAATCTTCGGCCTCAAATCCGTCGTCTTCCCGTTATACACCGCCCAGTCATCTGCAAACAAGTACTTCGGCTTAATCTGCAGCAACCTCTCCAATATCCCCTTCGACCCCATATCCGTACTACTACTCGAAAACAACCCGCCCAAGCTCACAACCGCCATAAAGCAGATGAAAGTATCAAAGCTCGTGCTCGCCACCACCGCCACCCTATCGCCCTTCTTCACACCCTTCATACGCATCGAATTACTCAGGAGACTTACTTCCCTCCTGACCTCACCCCACGTCATATCTCTAACCTCGGTGTTCCCCTCCCTTACCTCCGTCACCGCAACCTTGCCATCTTCTTTATTCCGCGTCGTGGTTTTAGACGGATCGTTCGGGTCCGCTGAATACAAGATGTTCTCTGCGAAATTCAGATACGTACCCTCGAACCAGTGCGGAATGCTGTCCATCGGCTTGGTGGTGTCAACGACCTGCTTGTAGGTGCCTGAGTAGATGAGGCCGGCGGCGTCCCACATGTCGGTCCAAAAGTCTGTGCGGTCGGGGCCGACGCTCCAGTCGTAGAGGTCACGGTAGGTTTGCATGGTTAGGTTGTGTTTGGTGTTAGCGGTATGCATGAAGTTCCACATTGCTGTGGATTTGGGGTTGGGGTGCTGCCATAGTTTGCGCGGGACGGGGTGGGAGGACGCCATTATCAAGTGCGCACGCGAAGAAAAGGATTTCAGATAGGTTTGAGAGGGATAGAACGGTGAAATGTAGATCTCAATTGATGTTATCTGATGGATGTGGGATGTGTGTATACTGTGGAAGCAACTCCGCTCACCACCGGCAATTGCAATGCGGGGCTGGAAATACAGCCGATGAGGCAACATGTTCATCCACGGTGTCGGATTTTATCGTTGACGGTTTCATGATCGTAATCATCCATCAAGTAATCGTAGGAAGCAAAGACATCGGTTCGGCTTCGACGCGATAGTTACCCAGATTCTGGAATTACCGTGGTCGTGGTGGTTGGGATGCTTCGCCGCTCG